CAGAGAACTACACATTCAAGTTGACTGACTTCATCCATGATTGTTTTCGTTCCAGAGCTAACCAGGCACAAACCGCCAAGAACAGGAAAAGGTTAGCTTTGCCCGCCATGAGCCGCCGTTCTGATGATTCAAATTTGTCGATCACTGAAAAGATGAACGTGCGGGCTCTCAAGTCGGCCGGTTTAAAGACCGTGCCCCAACAGAGCAACATGTCGGAGTGGCTTGCTTTTCGGAAGTGCCTTGATGTTCAGGGGGATAGGCACGCAGGGTGGGAGGACATCTTTTCTACGGTCCTCGCTTCGTCAACCATCCTGGCACAGGGCAACAGGACAGAAGACCTTGAGTTGGCCGCAGGATTCATGCAGTGTTTCACTGCGCAGTCAATGGCAACTGACGCCCTGACGAACGTGCCGTGGGCAAAGGAGATCCGCCATCTGTCCGAGCTCGAACATGACTCGCTGTGGGATCTGAGCTTGCCTACTGAGTACGTCCCTGGGACATCAAGGCCGGCGGTAGACGTCGTGCCCACCATCTATGTGGTGACTTCCGATTCAACTTTGGCTCTGATCACTGGAAAGGGTAAGACTTTGAAGAAGTACACCTTGAAGGAGGATCTGGGATTGCGAAAGTCGGACATGGTTCTCGAAATCGGTCATGACATGCTCTGGGGTAAGGATTTGCAACAGCTCTGCAAAGCAAATGTTTCCATGATCAAGGAGCTGATGGCGAAATATTCTTCTCATGGATCAGCCATCAGGGTTATTTCGGTAATCTTTTGGTCTGGGAATGAAATTTGTGGGGAATATGGTGTTGAACCCCTTCCCATTTGGGGACAGAGGGAACCACAGGGCGACTGGAATGCCATCATGGACAGGGTCAAAGGCAACATCGTGTGGTGGAACAATCAGCTCAAGGAATTGGGAGTGGATCAGGCCGCCCTAATCGGCGAGCCCGACCCGCTCACTTATGGATTGAGTCTCATCTTCACCACGTTTGTTGATCGACTGAAGGAATGGTTCCACAAGGAGATTGCCAGTGACAACGATCGAATTCGGTGGATTCAGAATGACATGCTTCCACCAAGGCTTGAGCTCAGGGACTACTTTCACGCATTCGAGACCGAGCTCAACCGAAGTGAAATGATCGGATACGTCATGGCAACTCTCCACATGTTGCACATGACGGACATTTTGATTCCTCAGTATAACCTGTCTTTGTACAAGCGCAGGCGCCCTGCAGGAGAAGCTACAATGCGTGATGTCCCGCCAAAGATGGAGCACCTCCCAGTCAGGTTTGTGCAGGTTCTCAATGCTCTCCGTGAGAAGACGAACAAATCTGCACCGAGCGTCTCGACCCCAGAAAGCTTCACAGCAGAGGAGTTGAGAGCTCGCCCGACCGATGCTGGTGTCGCTGAAGATGATGATGAAGAAGGCGACCCATGGGATGCTCTGGATCCCGATGAGCATGAGGGCCCATCGGTTGGCAAGGCCAAGGCCAGCCACGCAGCTCCGCCTGACCCCAAGGCGAAACCTCAGACGACACAGGAGGATTCAACTCAGGCCACCTCAGCTGGTGAGCCCCTGCAAGAAAACGAGATCAAGGGTACCATCATTCCGAAACATGCACTTGGACACCTTGACAAATATCGTATCACTTTGGACGAAAACATAAATGCAGAAGTAGTTGAACATTGTGTCGTTGATTCCCATCCCTACGAATTGATCGTCAAAACCTGTTGGGAGATGGATGGGGCAAAGGAGCTGAGGTACCCAGATCGCATGGACCGACACAAGACCAAGGTCAATGCAGTGACGCGTGGACAGCCGGGTCAGGACACCTCTGGATTTGATGAAAACATGTGGCTTGACCTTGATGACTTCTTTCGAATGTTCAACCAAATGCTGCCAGCCAAGTTGCCCCGAATGACAGTTGAAGAGCTTATTTCATTGCTCTACTGGGACAACAAGTGCCGTTTTGAGTTCCAGCGCATTGCCGGGTACCAGAAGGCAACCCGTAAAGGGTTAGCCTACTGGCCCATCAGGATCCGTGCAGTGCAGGGGCATACGAAACGTGCCATGGATGCCGCTTCAGCTGAGGACACGTTCAATGCAGTGGAAATCTATGCTCTGTCTGGAGCAGCAGCGATCCAGAAAATGAACGCCAAAGGTAAAAAGATTACCACTCCTCAGATGTGCCCCGGCGTAGTTTATCACAGGACTACAAAAGGCAATTGGAAGGGCATCATTGAGAATGGCTTCGTTGCTGGAGGAGGAGACGGAAATTCATCAGGCAGAGCACACTCCTATTTTAGCGAAGTGCGTGTCGACGAGAAAGAGTATGTGAGCGGTTTGCGTGCTGAAAGACCCATTGAAATCAGGGTAGCAATGGCTGAAGCTGTCAAAGCTGGCATTGTGTTTTTCAGGACGGCCTCTGACGGCATTTTGACAAGTGACGTCGTACCGCCTCAATACATTATCTCTGTCGATGACACTGCCAAGAAGGTGAATTTGTATCGTCGCCAGCAGGAGGTCGCACAGTCTGCAGCGAGCAGTGGGGGAGAAGTTGGAGTCCAGCAGCTTGTCGAGACCTTTGAGGCCAAGGCATCAAAACGGACTGGTTCCACGTCTCCGGCCGCCTCAACTGGCGCGCCCACTGCAACGGAATTTTTCCCAGGAAAGGTGAAGCCTCCGCCACCAAATGTGGCCCAACTTGCCGGTATGCCTGGATATGCAAGCAGCAGATTGTTGCCCCCTCCTCCGAAGGGTGAAGCTCCAAAGCCTCCTGCAGCAAAGGTTGAAAGCCCAAAGACACCGCCGAAAGCGCCTCCAAAACCATCACCGAAGGAAGGGACTTCTGCACCTCATGCACCAGAAGTTCCAAAAGCTGTGACCTCAGAAGTTGATGCAGCAGCAAAGGATGAACCTGCAAAGAAGAAGGCAGCCCTGACAAGCGTGCCCGCAGCTGTGCCTGCGGCATCATCAGCTGCGGCCTTCTTGGAGCCTGTTTCAAAAGTTGCACCGCCGAAAGGCAGTACAGAAAGATCCAAAAGCTCCAGTTGCAGAGTCACCCAAAAAGACGCCGGCATCAACATCCAAGTCACTGGTGCCAAAGCAGAAGTCTCGCCCTAAAGGCGATGACCAACCTTCGAAGAAAGAGGTGAAGAAGGAGGACAAGAAGCCGGTGCCGGTCAAGATTGAAGTCACGCAATGTTCAAGATGTTTTGCACAGACTTTCAAGGGACAGATTGAATGCGATGTGTGTGGATTGATGCTCGAAGGGGTGAACAAGGCCGACCGAACCAAGATTGCAGAACGTAGGAAGGCCGCCCTTCACAAGCTGGGCTTGTACTATGACTTTCGTGGTGAGTACCTGCAGAGCATCACACATGATCAGCTTGAATCTTTGGGTTTGTTGGACGACCAGGCAAGAGGAAGCTCTAGTCCGGAAGCCAGTTTGTTGGCAAGGGCAAAGAGTCGATTCGACCGTGCCTTGAGCTTGGGCTATGTGTCTGTGGCTGACAGGTTTGCCCAGGACGCCACATTCGCAGAGAGCGTGCTGAACGAGGGGGAGAACGAGTACGATTGTGAAAGGTACGACCTCCTCAAGTCTGCACATTTGCCAAAGCCAGGTCGTACCAAGGCTCAGGTCAAGATGGGTGTTTCTGAGCAATCTCAGCTGGAGCACAACGCGATGAGGCTGGTTTACTTGGATTTGGCAAGCCGTCTTGATGTCCCGAAATCGTTCAGGTACATTGACCAACCATGGTTCTACATGTACCGTACGGAAATCTACTCAGAGGAAGAGTACATTGACTATCTCAACCGCAATCCTGGACACAATCTTTTGTTGTCTTGTACTGGTGTTGACAACATTGCCGTTCATGATGCTGAACGTCATTTGAGGTGGATCAAGGGACAAAACGAGGAGCTGTACAAGCAGAACGCTGCAGAGAAGAAGAAGCAGTCTGACAGGGCTCGCGAGCAGAACGAGGCCAAGCGCAAAGCTGAGCAGACTGGAGCGTACGGCCAAGGTCCCTCCAAGAAAGGCACCGCCAAACCGGTTGCCCGACCATCCACCGTAGAGGTAGCTTCATCATCCACGTCAGCAAGTCAGTGGCTCAATCGCCCTCAGCAAAGTCATTCCCGTGAAGATCGACAGTTCACCAATGAGTGGCAGAAGTGGCACGGGTGCTGGTACCAAAAGGTTATCAGGCATGGCCGAGTCGAATGGGAAGAGGGATAAGTTTTGACACTGCTTGCATTGACGATCGATTGTACAAAGCCGCACATACTTTTGAATGTTTTCCCTTGGGTTTGCAAAGAGTTGGATCGGTAAGGCAGGCTTTAAAAGCCTAGCCCTGGTAAATGGGCAGCCTTGCCGTGTCCGGCTCACCTGAGGGGGGTGTATTTGCACCCCATGTAAAACATACATGTATCATAGTAACATGCTGACTAGCATTGCGGCTCAGGACAAAAGGCGTGAGTCGCTAGCTTAACGGTTGTTTTGTTTCCGCGTTCATAGGTTTATCAGTCTATTTGGGATTATAGTAATAACCCAGCTGAAACCTGAAAATACAGATATTACCACATAATCATACATAATCATAACTAGATATGATTCATAATCCAATGTGCTTTTATAACTAGATATTTTCTGGTGATTATACACATAGTATCACATAATATGCAGAGTTGCTTTAGAAGTAGACTACTGTAACTAACCAGGGTTGGGGTTGTAACTAGAGTTGGGTTAGATGGGATATAAATCAACGTATAGCTATAGTAAGGGGCGCCACATTGTGTAGCGTCAGGTAGATTGCATCAACTTTATATTGGCAAAATATCGCATCAGATTATTTTATAGTGCTTGACTCCTTGACATATTGAATCTAATTGGCCTAGACTAAAAGGTTAATCCATTCTTTTTAGTCAGTAAATTGCAATGCTTTTCCGTGGCGAAAAAGCACATGTTGTTGTGCACGTTGCCCCTGGTGTGCTAAGGACAGGGATGAAGTGGAGTTGGAGATCAAGCCTGGTGTGACTCGGCTTGAGTAGGTGGTGTGGGGCCTGTGGGGTGCATACATCTAGTCTATAGTGTTCTATATATAATTATTACATACCATTATATTCCTATGTATATATATATATATATAGATATATATTTCCCTGGATATGATATAAAGCCAAAAAAAAGTCGAGTGAGTAGTAACTATCCATTCTTTAGCGAGGAGCCATTTACCATAATTAATGCTCATCTGGAAACATGGAGATTCCGAATCATTCCTCCACCATAAAATCCAATCATTAGCCGAGTTGTAAACAAACTTAACTATCAAACATCAACTACCCTCTGGTAAACTAACATAACTATGGAAAATCACCATTTTTAATGGGTAAATCCACCATTAAATGGCAATTTTCAATAGCTTTTTGTTAACGTTTACCAGAGGGTATATGGTTCTATGTTCTTACTGCGGTCCCCATTCATTTTATTGGTGATATCCTATTTCGGGGACCTTTCTGTGGTCGCTGAACATAGCAGGGGTTCTGCTGTCCAATAGTCTAGGAACTCTCATGATCCATCAACTGGAATTCCGGGATTCACCATTAAACATCATTCGATGATTGGAACTGGAGATGTTCCAGTAATTCACTATGTTCCGGCCGCCTGCTAAAGCTGTCCATTTTGGTAGTGCATAGTTCTTTACCAACAATTCCCAACTATTGCAGTATAATGATGCAACTATATGCCTTGTTATAATATCACCATTGTTGCTTTTAAAACCCTATTGTGGCTGATGAATCCCATTTTAATTCCTTCATTATCATCATTTCCATCGGTTCTTCATTATGTTTGCTAATTATTGGACAATGCACACTGCTACTTGGAGTAATGCCTTCCAAATATTCAGATATACTAAACAGCCCCGAGAAACCATGTTTTACAAGGTGAAATTAAAATTGGGGCATGGGATTTTCAACAGCAACCCATTGTAACTTTACTGTAACTGGAATATATCAATAGTTCCATCTTTTCGGGAGGTTAAGGATTGATTGATTCCATTTCCATGTCTATAGCTTTGAACATACAACTCATATTCACTTGAAAAATAAACATTCCAAAGTATATAAGAAATAGCCCCCAAGAAGATATAGTGTTTTCAGGACGGTAGTTAGATGATAAGGGCCTCATATGTCCGGGTTTCCAACGTATCTATCGATTTCCGAGATACAAGATTTGCAAGGTGAGGCGCCCCAGGTAGCTAAGTTGACTTAGTTATATAACTTGGGTAACTAGTGGTGATGAGGAGGATATAACTATAGTTACTGGGTTTATCAACTAAGAAACATAACTAGGGGGGCTCACCTCGTGGAAAATCATAGGTTTATGGATTTTAATGGGAAAAATGATGATAAACTGTTGGATTTTGGGATATTTCCCCACCTGCCAGGTGAGGGTTGTTAGATTTTATGTCAGTTGCCTGGTCCTCCTCGTCCTCCTCCTTCTCCTCCTCCTCCTCCTCTCGTTGTCCTCCTCGTCCTCCTGCTCAACTGCGACTCGCGATCCACAGTGTTCTCTGCTGGACCTCCACCACGACCATCCACGCCCAGTGTTCCCTGCCGGACCTCAACCACGACCATCCACGCCCAGTGTTCCCTGCCGGACCTCAACCACGACCATCCACGCCCAGTGTTCCCTGCCGGACCTCAACCGCGAGTATCCCCGCCCAGTGTTCCCTGCCGAACCTCAACCGCGAGTATCCATGCCAAGTGTTCCCTGCCGGACCTCAACCGCGAGTATCCACGCCAAAAGATATGCCACATAGAGTGCCAGAAGATATGCCAGATAGAATGTTAGAAGATATGCCAGATAGAATGCCAGAAGGTATGCCAGATAGAATGCCAGATAGAATGTCAGCTAGAATGCCAGAAGATATGCCAGATAATATGCCAGAAGATATGCCAGATATGCCAGAATGTTGCCAGATAGAATGCCAGCAGATTTGCCAGATAATATGCCAGAAGATATGCTAGATAGAATGCCAGATGGAATGCCAGAAGATATGCCAGATAATATGCCAGAAGATATGCCAGAACATATGCCAGAAGATATGCCAGATATGCCAGAACATCTGCCAGAAGATATGCCAGAACATCTGCCAGAAGATATGCCAGATAGAATGCCAGATCGAATGCCAGAAAATATGTCAGATAGAATGCCAGAAGATTTGCCAGTAACAAAATGTATAAATGTCATGGTGGGGATCACACGAAGTAAAGTAATTTTTTTGATGTGGTAAACCCAATAATAACTCAACCCTAAGTCATCACCACAGTCATGGTTGGTATAAACCCCCTGTCATGGTAGGTTTATGCCATTTGTTTTGTCACAGGAGTTTCCATGAAATAAACCATCCAGATATTGGAGATTTCCCATTTATGGAAACCCCCAGATGGAGGTTTTAGTGGGAACATCTATAGATTATGTTTTGATAATATAATATATATATATATACTATAATCATATTCAAAACATAGAACTAATTAACTATATATATATATATTATATGTATAATACTGTCATCCAAGTAGTTTGTAAAACATCCGCCATGGTTATTATCATAGATTTCCCCATATATATATATACACATATGTATATATCTATATATGTTTTTTAATATATACATACATATACTATCATCCACCATGGTGGTTTATGATCAACCCATCTCCATCCTCAGCTCGGAGGTGTGGCTCCAGCGTGAGGCGCAGCAACGCGTGCTGCGCTGGTGCGCCAGCAAGCTTTGACCGCTGCTGGTGCTCCGGTGCTATCGGATGGAGCCGATTAGGGAAGAGTTCAGCAAGAGAAGTGGTGGTTTGATTTGATGATGGTTTTCCATTAAAACCTCCATTTAGTCCAAGGGATTTTCCATCATTTATTGTGTTTTCCCATGGTTTTCCCATGGTTTTCATGGTTTTTTCTGTTGATTTTATGGTGAATTTGATGGTGATTTAATTGGTTAATCCATGAAATTCATGGGATTTCGCCGGAACGTCATGACATAAAAATTGGTGGAACATATTTCATTTGAACCAACAGTTGCATTCACCCAGCGAAAGTTGGGAATAACATAGAGAAACCACAATATTATTTGGATCTGGGCCAACCTTGGCCGCATAACAGCTGATCTGGGTGGATTTCAACAAGAACCTTGAACTGCATTTTGAAATCCACATGATCGAATTGGTGTTTCTCAAAGTTGAGATGCCCCGAAGACCGTTCATAGTCTTATTCGTATTTAACATTGGATGATTCTGGGTTCCCCCGTTTCAGAAGCCCACAAATGTGGAATGGAAGGCCATAAAGTAGTGTGGCAGCAGAAGTACTTTATACCAGGTATATCTCCTAAAATATGTTTATCTCCTATCGAATCTTTCAAATGTCTCGTAGTGGAATTGCCACACTCGTGTGAACTATTCTTACTTGTATCCCTGGTTCTGGTGGTGAAATACCAATATGCCTACTGCCTATGCCCATTTTCTTTTTCTGAAATATCCCCATGTTTGTCCGTTCTACACCCAATGTTGGAGGTACATCCTCATTTTCTTTGTCCTGTCTCCATTTTTGTGGTAGGCAAGCTCCCTAGTCTTCTTGTGAAATTTCACTACTTGTACCATAGGTAGATTGAGTCATGTGACTTTCAGGCTAGGAATGAATGATCCAAAAAATACCCTCTGGTAAACTAACGTAGCTATTGAAAATGGCAATTTATGGTTGATTTACCCACTAAAAATGGTGATTTTCCATAGTTATGTTAGTTTACCAGAGGGTAACTATGAATTGATAATCCCAGTCCCATCCATTCCCATCCATTCCCATCCATTCCCATCCATTCCCATCCATAGCACCTGGGGAGAGATCTCACAGACAAATGGAGGCTATACTGTAGTTGCTGGTTGAATTGCCAGAATAGCTGGTGAATGGATGTTTATAGTATCTTATACCCCCAATATGGTAATAATAGGTTTTGACCCATCAAATGAATGACAATTCAGACATCAAGAGAACCCATGGATGCCATGCATGGTTTTTTTGCTTGTCAAACTAAGTTGCCAGTGGAATTTGTCAAACAAAGCGAAGGGTTTTCCGCCGATTCGGAGAGATGATTTGGGATCCCAGGACTGCTAGCAGCATTCTTTGCCAGAAAGCCAGCTAAGGTCATGCTAGTTGCATCTGACTTGATGCCTTTAGCTGACCACCATGTGAGGATATGTTCAAGATGTTTCAACATTTTCATCATGGTTGGAGCGGAAGATATTTGCATATATTTGCTACGGTTGGGTGACGTCAAAGAGACGGGACATGTGACAGACATGAATTTTGTTGTGAGAAAACATGGAGAAAACATGGACAAATCCATCGAACCGGTGCAGATCTAGGGACCGAAGGCACAAAAAGTGCTGCGCACCACGTGCTGGTTCCGCTAACGACGTGCTGCCGTTGCAAGCGACGCCCGTGCCACGCAGGCGAGGAAAAAAAGGCAGCTCGCGCAGGCGAGAAACATGCGGATGATAACTATTGGGATTGTGGAAACAACAAGGTAGATTTCACCTAGGCAGAGATTTTGGCAGCGAAAACCTTCCAAGATCATTCAGAAGTGGTTTTTTTCTTAACCAAGATGCCATGGAAATTACAAGGACCCCTGGCTGATGGGACCCCCATTCCAAGCTTCCCCTACGGGGGGTTCTAACATAGGAGTAGTATGCAAGTAGGGGCCCCTATCAGCAAAGGGAGCACCAATAAATTCCACATTAATATGATGAATTGTCACGAAATATCTACGTTTAACACATATCTTAGCTTAGCTAAATGATGAATTTAGCAACTTAGATGGTTTATGAACTTCTTATTAATTAATTACGTTAATTGCACACCGGGTTCATGTATACCTTTCGGGCTCCTTCCGACCTCATCGAACCGTTGATGGTGTGAGAATTCCTTCAAGGTGGTGTTGGTGTTGTTGTTTTGTTCCAGAACAGTCTTCAATAGTCTTCAAGGAACATATTTATGTCACCAGAAATTACTGGTTAGAGAAAGAAATCTTAACTTAGCATTACTTTTTAGAAGTGTTGATTTTTTGGACTTGTAACTTATCTGCTGAATTTTCTGACAAGCTCAGTCCACCAATCCTTTTCTGAGCTTCCCTGATGTACAAAGATTCGCAGCAGATTGACTCTCAGATTCCAGAGGATCCCTGCAGCCTCACTATTGCAACCCCAATAAAACCCCAATGACTCATGATAACCTCGTAGGTGAACTGTGGATTATATTTTACGATTGTCAAATTGTGGATAGAATAAGTCATTTGACTCCAAGGTTACCAGTAATTGTAGCAAACCAAGACTACAAGGTGCCCCAGTTATAAGTTACCACCCAGTAAGACGTCAATATATCTGCCATAAACCATAGAACTCACTTATTTATGAACCAACTTAGCTAACGATTTGGGGCACCACAAAGACTAGCTGTAGTCGTAGTTACCAGCCTGAACCGGTTATTGAGGCTGATACCTCCCACAGCCTACTGTGGTGGTTGGCTATGCTTCGTCATGGCAATTGGTTGGGGGGCTCAGGTTACCGTAGGTTACCGTAGGTTAGAATGTTTAGATGATGAATCATCATGACTCATTTTCCAAGGGATTGTTGTTTTTTGGTGGATTCTGACATACTATCTGAGATTTGTTTTGCATGTGTTTGTGATGTGACATGTTGATGGAACATAACTAGCCCTACCAAACCCATGTTGTCGTAGTGGATTTCTTGTGTTGTTTTTTAGAAGAGATGCCATGTGAGTGGAGACCTTATGATTCTTATCCGATCAACTTGAGCGGCAATTGATATAGGAGGATTAAATCAATTGATAAGTGGTTAAGAAAGCGATATATTTAGTTCATCCATTTATAGTTGGGATAACCTCCATGAATTTGGGGATTGATTGAGTTCACCAGGGCAAAAAAAACAGGTTACGATTCGTGGGATGATCCTGCAAGTAGTAGCCTATTTCCAGTGGATTGCCATCAGTTGAACGAAGGATGCCAAAGCAGTTTGTTGGATAAACTCTGGTATCGTATCGTTTGTTGGACAAACTTATCTCCGAGCCATATGGGACCCATATGGGACCCATATGGGACCCATGATGGATATCTATTGATAACCATCATCAGGGACCCTGGAGTGATCCATTTTGGATTTACATGGCAAAAACCTCTGGGATGGTTGAGATGTCTTTAGTAAAAATCGCATAAATCGCGAGTCGTGTGCAGGAGACCAAGAGGATTTGTGTGTGACTGTTTTATCCAAAAAAGTGGAGACCCATTGTAAATATTTACAATGGAAGGTGATGAAACATCTCGAATCTCGACGACTTGGGACTTGACCAGACTCCGCTTGTTTGCTTTAGCCTTGGATGTTTGTTTTTTTTTTTCGGACCCAGGAGCCATTGGGGTGTTGACCTGCGCCTGAGAACTCAGAGACAGCTTTGGTTTGCGTTGCAACGTTGCGTTTAGAAGTCTGTTGGCGGTGAACTGTTCAATCGGGAAAGGACGACAACAACAAACATTGGAAACTGTGTTTATAGATACTGTAAATATATATATATGTATATATATATACATATTGACACCCATATCCTAAAAATGGTGAGAACCCCACTTTTTATTGGTTCCCATATGAGTAACCGACAAAATTGTTGCATTAATAATACCAATTTAGTTTTCCTTCGCCTTGGCCTTTCTGAGGTTGCCCAAAACCTGAATTAAACCGATAGTGGACGGCCCCAATTTGTGCATGGCATTAAATTTAACAAATAATTTTGTCCGCTACTCATGTATATATATATATTAATATATACATATGTATGACTATATATATATATTAATATTAATATTAATATTAATATGAATACTATAGTTAATTGCCACAATGTGTCCAACTTTCCATATGATCCATGCATGCGATTAACTCGTCCCCTGGATCCGTGTATACAAGAAGTGCATAGTCAATAGCATACATCATCAAAAGGTCTTTATGCATCAAATGTGGGAAGAAATAAACCTTGGGATGTAAAAAAAAGTATATGATGGGATGTAAACACCAAAGAAAAGAGACAACAAAAAACATACGGGATGTAAACAAGTATAGAATCTATTGTAATCATTGATGGACAAGTTTGGGTGATTTCCAGCTAATTTTCCTATTTGGGATGATCATGATGATCCACATGTGTCCAGCATGAATCAGTGTGCATGCTTTTTACGGGTCCCCTCCAGCTATAAACCGGTTATAACCGGTTTATAAGACCAACTGTAGATACATTATGTCATATATTCTGTATGGATACATGATACATATATATATATATCTGTTATAACTGCCAGTTATTGTAGTCTCAAGGCAACTTACCTATCTTGGGGCCCCTTTCTGTGGGTTCCAGTGTGACTTTTAAGCGGATGCCGATCGGAACATCATCCATGGACCATTGTTTCAACTGGATGTTCCCTTTAAAGACCTTCATATACAATTTGTCAGAAATGGTTTTATGCAGCAAAAGAATGAAAATTAATGAACATTAATTAGTCAACAATTGGAATCTACTGGAACGGAAGAATGGAATGGTTCCTTCTCAAGTGACCTGGCCACAGGCCATTTGCGACTTCGCGGAGCTCTTTGGATGTGTCACCTCGCTGGAGGCGTGACTGATCAAGGATCCGATGATGCAACATGGAAAGATATGAACATGATTGAAGATGATCAGAATCTTCGTACTTCCTGAAACCTTGACATATTTGAAGTGCACATTATATATATATGTGTGTGTGTGCACATGCATGCATAAACACATTTGATATAGAGACCTATCATGGTGCACATAGGATTTGCCATCATAGATAGTATCCATTCTCTGGAATCTGTGTATTATATATATATATGATGTATGCAATATATTTACACTCCCGGAAATTAACATAGACCCTGCCAGATAGGGGTTGGAAGATTAGTTTCCACTAAAGATGGCTTATTTTCAAGGGTCTATGTTAATTTACCAGAGGGTATATGTACGGAGTTTGATACTCAATGGCTTGGTTTAAGGGAACATCACCGGAAACCATCGATTTCCCCATGAAATATGGGGCTTTCCCGTCGATGGTCAGGATTCCATCACTGCAATTACCATCGTCGCGCTTGGCACGTGCGGAGCTCAGTGCCGAGATACCCGCCAGATGAACAAAGGCATAGCTATGGCAGCCATGGTCGATCTATTGATGATAAACATATGATAATTTAAGCTTTAAGATGATTTAGCTATTCAACATGGTGATAAATGGGGTTGATATGAATGGGAATATAATCCACCACTTTATCTTTCAATATTGGGATAGAATAGAATGGAATCACTTTATTAATGGGGATATAGTGGAAATAAAATGGGAATGGGATAGAATATTGATGGGATAGGATAAGTTGCTTAATAGCTATGTCTAACTGGGTTTATGGTAGATATAAGGGTTGATTTAATGTGTATATATATATATACATAATATATATATATATATACTAATACATATAATCATGCTGGACGGCAGTTCAGATGGACAACATTTTCCACTAAATTGTCCTTCTCGTTTTTCATGTTGGTGATCCAACATGGCAATGGAAAATATCCTTCATTCATAGATGATTTGTCCGCTGCCCTCTGGTTATTTGTTACATAGCTATTGAAAATGGCCATAGAAATCGTGGATTTTCCCATAAAAACAAGATGAAGCCCACGAACCCGAATGCTCACACGTATGTTAATGGTACAGATGTCAAAACACATGGTTATGCAGTGACGCACAATACCTTTCTGCAATAGTTTATTTGAACAGTCTTGTACATGTTTTCCTTGTTACCAGTCTGCAGTGTGGAGTGGAAAGTGTAGAGTGTGGAGTGTGGAGTGTGAAGTAAGGAGTGTGAAGTAAGGAGTGTGGAGTGTAAAGTGTGGAGTGTGGAGTGTTGAGTGGAAAGTGTGGAGTGTGATGTGAGGAGTGTAAAGTGTGGAGTGAGGAGTGTAAAGTGTGGAGTGTAGAGTGTGGAGTGTGGACTGTAGAGTGTGGAGTGAGGAGTGTAAAGTGCAAAGTGTGGAGTGTGGAGTGTAAAGTGTAGAGTGTGGAGTGTGGAGTGTAAAGTGTAGAGTGTGGAGTGTAGAGTGTGGAGTGTAAAGTCAAAGTGTGGAGTGTGGAGTGTAAAATGTGGAGTGTAAAGTGTGGAGTGAGGAGTGTGGAATGAAGAGTGAGGAGTGTAAAGTG